GAGAGGAGGACAGCAAGAAGACAGAGGCCATGGGCCTGATTGTGGAATTTAGTTTTTTGTTTGGTTTTGGTTTTGCCTGGAACTGGATCTCTTCCAAGGTGCGCTAACACCATCTGGAATACCTCATGGGACCAAATTTGCCATGAAACCATTTGAGGAATTTCAACAGTTTTGAAGACAGGGAAGTCTACAGAAATGGTAGCCCTTAAAAATGAGACAAGCCTGGAAGCAATGGGCAGTTCCCCAATAAATACTTAATATATTAAAACACTGTTTGTTACATTGGCTTCCAAAAAACCAAAAAGATGAGTCATATCAAATTACATCTCACTTTATGGCCTCTATGCTCACTCTTCACCTCTAGAGTCAATGATCAAGTACAGAAAATTTTAGGGAGATGCTAGTGAAACATCTATTTATAGTTAATTTGAATTACTTTCCTGTTGCCTGGTCAGGACTGAAATTACATGTGACTGCATACGTTATTGGACAGATATGCTGGATTTATATATGATATTGTTTGTTCGGGGCTATAAAGAAAAGATATAATTTGTGTAGTCATCTGAAATGTTCATTTCCATAAAGTTGCATCAGGCAAAGGGCCCTTTATCACTCTCATTTTAAAAATTAACCAGTTAGGGGCGCCTGGGTGGCTCAGTGGGTTAAAGCCTCTGCCTTCAGCTCAGGTAATGATCCCAGAGTCCTGGGATCGAGCCCCACATCGGGCTCTCTGCTCAGTGGGGAGCCTGCTTCCCCCTCTCTCTGCCTGCCTCTCTCCCTACTTGTGATCTCTGTCTGTCAATTAAATAAATAAAATCTTTTAAAAAAAAATTAACCAGTTATTACTGTTTAAGATACAAATGAAGTCCTAAGATATTCCTCTTACAAGTCCAATATCAGCAGTTTTGGTAAAACATTTGTAATTAAGAAAATTTGTTACATAGAGTTATTATGTTCCTCCTAAAAATATAAATGTGGTCAATGTGATGAAAGCCATTTACATAGCCATTACCAAAAAGTACTGATTTATTTTTTTTTAAGATTTTATTTATTTATTTGACAGAGATCACAAGTAGGCAGAGAGGCAGGCAAAGAGAGAGGAGGAAGCAGGCTCCCTGCTGAGCAGAGAGCCCGATGTGGGGCTCGATCTCAGGACTCTGAGATCATGACCTGAGCTGAAGGCAGAGGCTTTAACCTACTGAGCCACCCAGGCGCCCCAAAAGTACTGATTTATATACTATATCCAAACTTTTTCTGAGTCTGAAAAAAATAATTTTAACTGTATTTATGGCACATGAAAAATAAAATATGTTCCTGAAAGTATTTGAATTATTGATATAAAAACTATAAAAAACAGATATTTGAATCATTAATATAAAATACTATGAAAAAATAGTAGTTAAAAGTATTATTTACATTTCTTAGTTAAAATGAATCCTAAAACTTCTAATTTATGGTTTAAAAGTATCTGTGGTAGTTAGATAATTTAATTTATCACTACATTTTTTAATAATAACAATGCATTATCGACCCTACTGAATAAAAAGTTAATTTTCACTGGTAAGTTTTAAAATAAATAATGCAAAGATCATATAAACTCCAGTAGATTTTGAGATTAACAGCAAAGCACACAATTACCCAGGATTCAAATAAGGAGCAATTTGCAAAAATTGTAATACATTTGAAAATGGCAACATAATCAGAAATAATACACGGCAGATTTTATCATTATTATTTTCGTTAAAAATGTGATACTTCCTAAATCTCATGACCTACAAAATTTTAACAAACATTCTCATCTGTAGGTATGCACTCAGGTAAAATGAATCCTATTCAAAGAGCACATTCTATCAGCTAACAACTTTCTTTCATTCTCTAAGCATGAAAAATCACCATGTAGAAAAAATAAGGTAAAATGTTATCACTATTTTAACCGCTGGGACAAGGGAAGACAAAGCAAGTAAACCATGCCTTTAAGCTTCTACAGAAAGGGTTCACTCCATCACTATGAGAAGCAGCAGGTAAAGATTAAAAGCATTAACCCTTAAACCACAGTGCCTGGGGGGCGTCTGGGTGGCTCAGTGGGTTAAAGCCTCTGCTCAGGTCATGATCCCAGGGTCCTGGGATAGAACCCCGCATTGGGCTCTCTGCTCAGCAGGGAGCCTGCTTCCTCCTGTCTCTCGCTGCCTGCCTCTCTGCCTACTTGAGATCTATGTCAAATAAATAAATAAAATCTTAAAAAAAAAAAAAAACCACAGTGCCTGGGCTCAAGTTCCAGCTCCCCACCTCTGTGACCCTAAACCAGTTACTTAATCTCTTTGTGCCTCAGTTTCCTGATGAGGAAAATAGTACCTATTTCATAGGGCCGATGTAAAGACTAAATATATTAATCTACGTAGGGTACTTAGAATAGTACATGGCTTATTCACGTTATCGTTTATTTTCTACTCTAAGTCAGGTGTGCGGCTGGAATAAATTGCTAACAGGACAAACATGGACCCTGAGCTCATGGAGTTCTTAACAGGTGTACTGATGGACACACTGACCATCTTTTCACATCGCTATGTGTTTCTATGTATATGGTATATGTCGCTGAGGTGTATGGGTTGTTAATGAGTACAGCACATGGCACGCTGCTCCTTTTGTTATCGAAGTTCCACCTCTGATTTCCACAAACAATGGTCTGATCCCCTCCATGACAACTGGAGCCTAAGTGGCCGTAATGTCAAAGAAACTGAACTGCTGATCCCTTAGGCTTATTAAACTGTATTCACCCACAAACTAACCTCAAGCAGCTGGCTTCCAACTGCCCTTCAATATGGCATAAAGCGTTAGTATTAAATAAGGGCTCTGAAAATTTTTAACTGTTATACATATACACACACACTCTACAGTCCAAATGTACTATTTATTCCTATCATCTCCTATTTCTACTGCAAAGACATATTTCTAATGCTACATGGAGACCACCACAATGCTATTATCCCACTTGAAAATGTCATCACCAGATAAAGCAAGTAAACAACGTTGTGTTTTGGGAATCCACATAGAACACACATTAACGAGTCCTGCTTTAAAAGACTGAATATGAAATCACGGTGATGTACTCATTCATAAAGAAAAAAGTTACCTGAAGAAGAAACAAGCACCTTCTTTTTCCTGTATGTGTTCCTAAAATAATATAAGACTTTGGGTGATATTCTTATTGTCAATGAAAACTTGGAAGCATATGACATGTAAAGCCGAAACAAATTTTAAAATATTGAACTTAGAGATGAATCTAAAATCCTACTGTGAGTCATATCTTGAAGATCTGCATAAGTATCTTCTTCCTTGGATCCTTTTTATTTTAATAAAATGACCTCTTTTAAGTACACGGTAGTATGTTACAAAGAAGGCATCCTTTGGGAGAAGACCATAAAAATAGATCATATTCCTGTGCAATACCTACTTGTGGTTTCTGAAAGGAGCTGACATGAATGTATACTTCTCAAATAATGTGACTCTCTCAGAAGCAACGCTACCCTCCCACATAAAAGATAATGGCCTGTATGTAGATATTTTTATAGGTTAGCAATGAAAATCATGCTGAAATTACAAAAAATTAAGAAAGGCTATCATCCTAATTGACACTGTAGTGAAGATTCTTTTTCTGCAATGTCAAAATTTAATCATATTACTATTTCAACAATAATATTTGCAGGATTAGACTCAGTATATTTTAAAAATTGTAGTTGGTTGTGGTCTCTTCACATTATAGTCTCTCCATGTTGTTGGGAAAAAACAAAATCAGTGTGTATTACTCTGTTCATAAGAATACATACTAAATCTGCAATGTGGATTTAGGCATATTAATGATTGAGTTCACTTTGTCATTATTTGAAAGAAGTCATAAAACCAAAAGCATTATTTTAACAAAAAATGTGTACATAAAGTAAAACAATAATTATCCTTCCAAACCCAGTTTTCAGTGAGGGCTTCTAGTTCAGGACATCCATAAGAAAACCAATTTATATTATTTTTGATAAGATATAAATATATTTCTGCTAGTTCATGTGCCATATTTCATAAAATTCAGTGTAAAATTTGTAAAATTATAAAATTGTAAAAAAAGTGTAAAATTTGATAAAATTTATAATTGGTAGCTTTTGTTTTTTGGTCAAAAGAACAACAGTAATGTATAAATTTAATTTACATTGCATTTTAAAAGTATTTCATTAAGATATAGTACCTGCATTTACTAAAATGTTGTGAATTGTGCAAGACAAATTTGCTTCTTTGCTGTACTGGGTCTTTTGCTCATCAAAATAACCATGGAGGGGAGAGAATAAACAACAAAAGCAAATATCACTTCTTTAATTCTGATATAGAGAAAAAAATCAGAGTTATTTTAAAAATAAATTATACTTTAAAACAGAATAAACTATCATTTAAAAAATACCCAACATAAGTACAAAGTTGAAGATTTACCCAGTATAATGAATCTTTAGCAGAAAAATTTGTTTATAAAGACCACAGAAAACTAATCTAAGGAATATTTACTATATAAGAATTTAGGAAAAGTCAAGGTAAAGGAGAAGAGATACTAAAGTGTCTTTTTTACTGTTAAAAAGTAAAAGATGAAGGAAAATTTAAGTTTATATCAGGATTTTTTTGTCTCCTTGTTTATTGTTACATTTAAAACTTCAGAAAATCTTAGCCTCCTCTGAACATATTTTTTCAGTCTCTATTTCAAACTACATTTAAATCTGGGTTTAGAAAATCTTAGCCTCTCTTTGAATTATTTTTCAGGGTTTGTTTATAAATACTCCATTACTCACTTTGACAAAACAAAATTTCTTGACTCAAAAGCCCCAGGAAGGGGCTCCTAGGTGGCTCAGTGGGTTAAGTCCTCTGCCTTCGGCTCAGGTCATGCATGGTCTCAGGGTCTTGGAATCAAGCCCCATCGGGGCTCTCTGCTTGGCAGGGAGCCTGCTTCCCCCTCCCACTCTCCACCTGCTTCTCTGCCTACTTGTGATCTCTGTCAAATAAATAAATAAAATCTTAAAAAAAAAAAAAAAGCCCCAGGAAATAGAGAATTCTTAAAGGTGATTATATTAAAACAAAACTACTCTTCAAAAAGACTAATATTTAAAGAAAGAAAAAAAATTGTGTTTCCTTCAAAATCAATAAAATGATAGTATATACCTCATAGTCACTCCTTGAATACCCAATTTCCTCCTCTCCGAAATAATTACCTGAAAAGATGTCAGCTGACATCTAACATATCAAAAAAACCATACTTGAGTCATTGTGCAAGAATTCATTTTGCATCTGGAAATCCACTACACAAATCCAGAGTTAAAAAAAAAAAAAAGCCTATAAAAATTGCACCAAGTATTTAAGTGTCTGGTTTCTCCAAAATGTATAAGAAAAAGAAAAATGACACAACTAATTGTTATGGTTGATTTGTGTGTTTTCAAAGATACAAATTTCTGAACACAATTAGAACCCAAGTTTCTAACTTTTCACCTGTACTAACACAGCTTTTTAGATTATAAATATATAAATGTATATATATTTAAAATCTAATATATATATGTACACATGCATTAAAACAACTTTGTTACTTAAGGGCTTCAAATAAACTCAAAACCTGTATTTCAAGATGCTTTCTTCCCACTTTAGCAGAAAGGAAATGATTTTGAAAAATACCATTAGGACACTGGCCTGCTTGTATTTCTAGGAAATTCTGGCAAACAATTAACTACACCAACAGGTTCTTCTAGCTTCCACTGCGAACAGCTTTACTCCGAGACTGAAATCTGTGATGTGCTGTCACATTAGGGAATATTCTGCATTCTGCCTAAGATTTTATTTTTGAATTATTACTGGTTTTTGTTTTATTTCTAGTACCAATTTCACAAAGAAGCTTAGCATGATGAAAATAAGTGAATCTTCTACACAGCTTAGAGGGAATAAAAATGTGATGGTTTGAAAACCGGCTTAAAAATTCTGCAGGAATAGAGAGAATTTTCTCAAAATGGAATAACTGCTGATAAGATTTTTGAAAATATATAGAAATACTTCCCGGTGCTATCAATCATATCTAAAAAAGAATGTGATGTAGACTCTGTTTAAAAATATCCAAAAAAATCACTATACCTTGCCTTTATCTTCTCTCTTTATACTTATTTTCTAAAAGTACAGGCAAATATCAGGGGGAAAGCTTTTTTATAATTCTGCCCATTTATTTATCCTCAAAGAATTAATATCAACAACACCATAAGACAGTTTCTTATGTACTGGAAATCCTAAATCAATATGTTGGTATTTCCATCAGAAGAAAATGATACCCTATTTAGAGATCAAAATTGTTTACTTCTAATTTTGGAGTTAGGTAGAATTCTCCACGGAATGGAAAATGATAAAAAGCAATTTATCAGTAGACACATAAAGTAAACCTATTTCTTTCAAGCATGGACTCCTGTGTTTATTTATAAAAAATGAGAGTACAGTAAAAATAATATTTTCAACACTACAAATGAAGATTACTACCACAATTTCTGGAGAAATGCCTCCCTCAATGCTTTCTCCAAACATTCAAATCCCAGCTTAATAAAAACAAATGGCATTCCTCATTTCTTCAAAATTGCACATTCGATATCATAAGCTTTGCTTTTTTTAACAAGACACTAAACACTTTCAAATTTAGTAATTAAGTATTCATAAGCCTGAGTTTAGGCGGTAGTGTTCTGGAGATGATGGGCTATGATAAATATATTTATAACTTTCAAACTAATGAATTTAAAGACATAAAAATAAAACAAATAAGAAGGTAAGCTAAAATAATATAAAATCCCTGAAAGTGGTCTTTGTTACTTCATCACAAGACTAAATAAATGATAAATGCGTGTAGTACCAATGGAAAATTTTAGTATTTCTATCACTCAGTAATTCTATCCACTTCTGAGTTAGAAAACAGTAACAGTCAAAATTATAAAGAGTTTTATATTTTCCAGCTAAAAATGTATATTTTCATGTCTAACAAATTAAACCGGGCACTTACTATATAAAGTTATTAAAGAATATGGGTAAGTGTTGAACCTTTTACTTTCTAACTCCACTTTCCAATAAAATTGGAAGATATTTTAGAAGACAAATATTCCTTCAAGTAAAATATGCTAGTAAATAAAATGTGGCAAATTAGAATCTAACCAATAAAATTTAGTCAACAACTATCAACCACGAAGGTTTCCTATTCCTTCAATAAGCCCAAACATTAATAAAATGAAGAATATTTTAAATCATAAATTTCTAGAAATTCTACATGATTAAATAACATTTGGTCTAGAATCATAACAAATTTAATATCATTAACAAAAAAGGGGAGATTTTAAATTACAATCTATGAAGGTATATAGGTAAGCTTTACTCAGGTTTGTGTATTTTCTTTCCGATTAGACATCTAGATAAAATTTTCAGGGTTGAGAGTCTTGAACAACGGTAGAAAAAATATTTTTTTAAATTTCTACAATGACGTTTATGAACATCAATTTTTTTACTGCCCTCTAGTGGCGAAGAGTCAAGTCACTGTATGGTCAAAGCTACGATTAGGAAGGCACATGACAGGGGCTATATATAGAAAGATCTTGACAAACAGAACAGTAAAATTTTACACCATATGTCATACTTTTTTCCCAGAGATTAATTATTAAGTAAAAGAAAACTCTATGTATGAAAGTCAAATTCTATTTGCTAAAAAAATTATAAGAATTTCATGAGCAGCAGCATGAATAAAGTCACAACACTGTACATCAACCATTAAATACAGTGAGCTGGTCAAAAAATGAAAAAAAAATCCGTCAATTTTTTCTACATAACATTAGAGAATACTTGCCCAATTCTTTAATTTTACTGGACTGGCTATTTTTAGATCTTAGAGGCGACCCTACAAAAGTTACTTTTAATGTTCTCTAAAATGTTAAATTCTAAACAAATTAAAAGTGTGAAGAAAATTCCACAAAACCAAGTCAACTACATTAATATCCAGCTCTGTGCATGAAAGACATTTTACGAAGTAGATTTTAGGGAACAGTTATACCATGTATAAAATTTACAATTGGAAGGATATAAAAGTATATATAATTTTAAACTAAATTAACTTTTGTTTCTTACCAAATTGGCTCTCTTCAGGTATTTTCCAGAGCATCGGCATAATTTTATTACTTTGCTTTATTTTTCAATATTCATTTTCCATAATGAGAAATAATGGTATTTTTAGGATACAAATAAAACAATTATGATTATTAAAATAGTTACTGAAAAATAAAGTATTAGATGAACTGTGATCTTCTGTATCTCAAATATAAAATCTGCCAACTAGCTTTCCTGTATCAAAAAAAAAAGCATAATCTTGGAAATGTATGTAATTTATTCACATGACTTGTCTTAGAGGAAAATTGTAGAATTCAAGAGAGAAATAACCCAAAAGAAAGAACAAAAACCTCTAAACCTTGACAGAAAAGCTACGGTAGGACGGATACCAGAGGCAGGAAGGATAGGCCCTGTGTTTATCCCTTCTTCTCAGTATCTCACCTTCAGGAGCCCTATGATCATGGGAAATAAACTGTGTCATGTGCTTTTTTATGTATTTTGTGTATTTTGATGTATTTTGATGATGTTTGTGTATTTATTTGTTTTTACACAATGTAAACAGTACCTGCAAACTATGGCTACCAGGCCCTTCTTTCTAGGAATTTCAATAAATGTTTAAGGCCGGTTATGTCAAAATGTGGAAGAAAAGTGTCTTCACACTTTTTTCTGGGCCCAAACATGAAAACCATCAGGAGGTCCATGAGGCTTTTTCTACATGGGAGGTGGCACAATCTTTAATAGCTCTCTAGTCTTTTCAAAGGTTCAAGTATAAAGTGCTTAAAGATTTTCATCAAATAGAAATTTTTGAATGAAAAAGAACATTTTAAAAGCACTGCCTTAAGCAATTCTAGCAATAAATACAGCAGACAAGGACACAAATAAAAAAAATAAAGAAAGAATATTAACCATGGCACAATCCTTGAAATTAATATTTAAAGTAAAAAAATATCCTACAGAAATATCTGTCTCATTCCCATTCCACTACAGATAGCAGCTGTCCCCTGGTGTGGAGAACCTTCTGGACAGTCTGACACAGACACATTCTAATTGAGTTCCAATACATGTTCAGAAATGGAACAAGACTGCTTTCAAAACCCAGTTTCTTCTTCAGATGCAAGTTTTCTAAGACGTCTCCCAGAATTAAGAAATTAGGAAAATATATCCCTATAGCTATAATTTAATTACAATTAATCTTTGAGAAGAAAGAGTAGATAGAAATCAGTAGCCAGTCGAATCTGGACAGCAGAGAGGGACTAGTGACAAGAAACGAGCAACGTGTAGCTGAAAGGACAGAGATGCATCAAGGACAATTTTACTCTCTCTTTACAGAAATTTTGGAAAAATAATTTCAACCCTACGTTCACTTTCTAAGACTCGGTATATCTCAAGTTTTAAAAAGCTTTAAGAGTAATGAAGAACGGGCGCCTGGGTGGCTCAGTGGGGTAAGCTTCTGCCTTCGGCTCAGGTCATGATCCCGGGGTCCTGGGATGGAGCCCTGTATCAGGCTCTCTGCTCAGCGGGGAGCCTGCTTCCCTCTCACTCTCTGCCTGCCTCTCTGCCTGTCAAATAAACAAATAAAATCTTAAAAAAAAAAAAAGAGTAATGAAGAAAAATGAATGCTCACACTATCATGTAAATAGGTTGACTGTTATCTTATAATCAGAAACATAAAAAAGTATATAAACATAATAAGTGTTACCAATATCTTTGCCAACAAATCTTATGCTAATTAAACATGTAAGCTGCTAAATGTGATATTTGCAGAAATGTGGCTTTAGAAATGGTATCCATCTGAAACAGCTTAAACTTTCAGAAGGAGACATTGTAACCTTTCTGAAGATTTAAGCAGGTGTCGAAGCCACTGTCAGTAATGACTTAGGGGGAGCCTGGAAAGCTGATAACTTTCCAGCTTCTCCTATCAGCTGTATGCTCTGGTAACATTTAAAACATCTGATGTTCCAGACTACACACTCTGTCCTGGGAAGTGTGGTTCGGCTTCATTGTCAGACCCAAAAGTTCACTTCTACAGTTGACACAGGGTTACTTAAGGAAAGGAGCACATTCCAAGTATTAAATCAGCACAATCAAAACTTAAGAAATTAAATATGCTCGTGCAAGGGTGCACGTAGTTTCAAAGATTTAGAAGACTACAATGGGCAGCTGAAATTGTATGCTTTTAATACCACCCTTTGCCTTAAAAATTAACATTTTCTATACCTCAAAAAAATTTTTTGTATTAAAAACAAACACTCTTCCGACATCAAGGAAGTCCACAAGTCAGTCTTAAAAACTTTATTTCTTCACCAGCTTTTTCTCCTTGCCAAGCAAACAGGTTCAACTTAAAACCATACACGTGAACCACTGTCATGTCATCTGTTTTTATTAACATGGGACTGAAAAAGGAAAACCTGTTTTTAAATTTGAAAGAGGGGGGTGGGGATAAAGGTTTGGTAAAAACTAAAGTGGCTTTACATAAATGTATTAATTTTAAACTAAAAATCCACTAAAAATCTCTGTGGACTTTCAGCCATTACATGAGACTTCACTTAATCAAGTATAGGTCACTTTGGAATGAGTCAAGTAATACCACCAAGGACCCAGCTGGGAATGGTAAATGCCATTTCTAGAAAGCAAAGAGGCTCCACCTAGGGCTTCCCCCCAAAATCCAGTCTAAGTAATTTACATGAAATGGTACCATCCCGTGTATTCCACTGAAGCTGGAGTGTATTCAAATGTGCAGGAACACGGAGCGCAAATTGTGATGAGGACAGCACCTACAAAACTTGAATTCTCTTTTGGAATCCAATTATCATAGTCACTTGAGGGATACTCAATTATTATTTATCTAATAAAGATGGAGATGGACATAGCTGAGTGATTGTTCAACAGAGACAGATATTAAAGCCATCTGGGACTACAGAAAGGTAAAAACGTCTGATGAATTAGTCAGTGAAGATAAAATCCCTGAGTGTGGGCTTGCTACTACTTGTCATTTACATAAGTTCAATTTATGAAGAGAATAAAGAAGCATGCATATGTATGTACAAAGAGACGTCAGGGTTTCTAATGATATAAGCCACAGAAGTATTAATCTTGGGAGAACTGCAGAACTTTGCACATTTCCTCTGGTGCTATGGCATTTCAGTCTAATGTTGAACATATAAAAACATATCCTCTATCATAAATGTGATTTGTTCTCTAAGCTTCTGCCTCGTAATTTTACAGGATATTTAAACGTGCATAAAACTAGAGCAAAAAAAAGGGGGGGGACCAGTTTTAAATACGTAATATACATAAGTGATAGATATACCCATTTTCCGTCCCTTTGTCCAGGATGCTGAATTTACTTACATTGAAAAATCTCAGATAGATTTTTAAGACAATAGAATTTTCCAATAACTAACTTTCACATAAGATGGTAACTGAAGGGACTCCTGGGTGGCTCAGTCCACTAAGTGTCTGCCTTCGGCTCAGGTCATTTTCCCAAGGGCGTGGGATCGCGTCCCATATTTAGCTCTCTGCTTTTCCCTCTCCTAATAACAACTGAAATGGCTAACAGACATAAAGCCAGGAGATAATCTAGCACTGAAGGAGCCCATCGCATTAAAAAACAAACAAAACAAAACAAACGTAGGTGCATGTCAGCTAGTTCCGTGGTAGCTGTGACCACTTAGAAGGAAGATTCTTCCAATGAATTTGCATTGCCCAACCTGAGAAACCTCTGCAGAGCCAGAGGACTCGGACAGGGGAAATCCTGATGAATCTGGCTCACATCCCCTCCAGCGAAGAGCTGCGGTGTGTAGTTGGGGGTAAGTCTAGGAGAAATGGAACATGACTTGCAACCCATTTTATTCATGAGGGCCAACAGTACAAAGCAGCAGCTACAATGGGAAGGTTAGTAAAGCTGGAGGCACACATCAACCAGGAAAGTTCAATTAAAAAGAAAGCAGGGGATACAGTATTAATATCAGATAAGGTAATAATCTCTGATATAAAAAAGCATTAATTTGGATTAAAAGGATCTATTAAGGCTGCAATCTACAATGAAGATAGAGTAGGCACGACGATCTCTGTAGCAAATAAAGCAGAAAGTAAGAAACTCATTAAAAAAATGAACAGAAACAAAACTATAGTGAAAGTCTTTAAAAATTTAACAGGTCTTTTAAACAGATGAAAAAGTCAACAGACTTCAGAAGGATATTGGAGATTTCAATCAGTGAGTCTCAACCCACTTGCCTGAGAATGGTTGGGAAGGTGGTGTGGGGAGGGGGAGGTAACTGGGTCACCACCACAAAATCTGTTTGGTGTCTACAGATAAGAGTTAAGAACACGAGGTATCTTAAAACTCAAAGGACGGTTCCTCAAAAAAAAAAAAAAAAAAAAAAAAAGACTTGCCTCATCCACAATGCTAAACAGAAGCCCACTGGAATTATACTCAGTCATCTAAATAATAAGTTTGAATTTGCTTTGGTAGATACAGAGCAAATGTCAATACCTACAAATAAAGAATACACTTTTTAAGGAATAAAATCACTCATGAGGTGCCTGGGTGGCTCAGTTGGTTAAACATCCAACTCTTGATTTTGGCTCAGGTCCTGACTTCAGGATCAGGAGACCGAACTCTACGTCAGGCTCCACGCTGGGTGTGGAGTCTGCTTAAGAGTCTCTCTCTCCCTCTTCCTTGGCCCCTCCCCCTCTCTCCTTCTCCCTGCCCCCCCCACCAAAATCATTCATAAAAACATACCATATATTTTATAAAAGGTCTTCAAGTTGTGGTATCTGTAATTCTGGGAGTAAGAAAAGTCAGTCTAAGAGATGTGCACACCTGAATACCTTCAAAGGAGTCCATTTCAGGTTTTGATACTGATTTGCCTGAAGATGTAGCTGCAGGAGAAATTTTCCTACCTACACTCAAAAAAAGAAAGACACCTCTCCAAAACCTCACCATGGGGGAATACCCCAATATATACTACAGAGGAGCAAACTGCATAGCAATGAACAAGTAAAGCGTACCCTGATAAATGAAGCATTACAAACACTTCACACCCCATTTCAACAGGAGATACATTTCCAAAAGAATTTTATTTTTATGGTCAATCATTTTTTTTTATCAGATATGCATATTTGTTTTTAGATTGTGTGTACTGATTATATTAAAAGCTGAAAGCAGAAATTTTATTTCTAGCTCTTAGAATCTTGTGGCCATAGAAAACCATTTTAATTCAAATTTTTATTTACATATGACTGCAAATAAAGGATTTTCAAGAATAATGTTATTTATGAAGTACAAGTAAATTGCATTAAAATAAAATATTCTTGGGAAAGTGGAATGAAAATAAGTCTCGAAAAGAACATTAAAGAGTTTAATTAACCAATTGTCAGTTTCTTAATTTATTTGTAAATAAATGATGGTGAGCACAAAACTGTTAGGACATTTTTTGTTTATTATTAGTAACGCACACTTAAAACTGTGATGTAAATAGTTTTATTCAAAATATCAATATTTGTCATACATGGAAATTAGCCCTTTGCAACTGTTCTTACTTGTGATGAAAAACATTAGATTTTAACTAAAAAATGTGTGAGCGGGTATTTAGTTTTTCAAAATTCTTTTAGTGAGAATGTACTCCAAAAGTCTGAAGACTACTCTAAAAAACGTAGAGAAAATCTCAATTAATCTTTTAAAAGCTAACATTCTCCAAGTCACATTATCTTATTTCAATGGCTTAGAAAAAAATACCTAGAAAAATAAAATCTGCAGTCACAAAATGTACAAAGAATAATGATTTTTTCTTAATTTTTTAATTTTTTAAGATTTTATTTATTTGACAGAGAGAGATACAGTGGGAGAGGGAACACAAGCAGGGGGAGTGGGAGAGGGAGAAGCAGGCTTCCTGCTGAGCAGGGAGCCCAATACAGGGCTGGATCCCAGGACCCTGGGATCATGACCTGAGCTGAAGGCAGACACTTAATGACTGAACCACCCAGGCACCCCAAGAATAATGATTTAAAAAAGAACACCTACACCTGGAATAGGGACAAAGCTGTACTTGCTAGCATATTAATAGTCATAATTATGTCCAAGGAAAACAAGCAAAGGGAATCAATTACATTGAGCAGAGGTTACTAATTAGAAACGAGGGAAAAGAAAAACAATTATAAATCATGGGACGTGAGATTTGAAAAAAATAGGCTACAGAGACCTACTGCTAGCGTAATGAGGAAAAAAAACCCTGAAAACAGAAATACAGAAACTTTAGGATAAGAAAAAGGGAGTTACAATTATATTTAGGCAGAATAATATAAAAAACTCCAGGTTCTAGAAAGAATGGAGGTCTCAGCCTCTATAATTTACGCACAAAGCAAAAAAATCCCTTGAAATTTCTAAAATTAAAGAATTAACTCAAGAAAACCAGCCCCCAACCCCCAACCTGGGTTTCTT